TATTAAAAATGAAAATAATTAACTAGTTCATATCTTTTAATATTAGTTTTAATTTCAATTCTTAATTAATTTTCTTTTTTTTAATTAATTTTCTAATTTTATGTTTTAAATAAACAACCTAAGCCCAGTAATAATTAAAACTTATAAATTCAAATTCTGATTCTAGTTCTAATATTAATTCCAATTCCAGTTATAATTCTAATTCTAATGGTAATTATAATTGTAATTTTAATATTAATTCTAATTAATTTTCAAATTTTATGTGTAAAATAAACAAACCACGTTTAGTAAAATTCAAAAATTTTTTAACTTTAATTCTAGTTCTAATTTTAATTCTAATTCCAATTCCAGTTATAATTCTAATTCTAATTTCAAAATAATGTATCCATATCTTTATTTCATGTAACAATAAAAATGATTAGAATTAAATGAAAAAGGAGTACTAATCAGTGCTAATAACTACATAATATTATATTGCTATAGAATTTCTTAATCCCCGCAGAAAATATACTTAAGAACAGAATTTTCGCTATTTACTAGGATTAACGATATTAGTTGCCTAAATTTCATAGGTTAGGGTAAGTTGTAGAAATATGAAATTTACTCCTAAGCTAAAGCAATGTCATCTTAAAGTAGTCTTTAGTTTTGAGAGCTTAATGATATCTTATGGAATTGGTATGATTATGAAATAAGCATTTAATTTCAGTTTTGACGTACAATTATGTATAAATATACTCATGGTAATATTTTCGGGAACAACTGAATTAAGATGAATTTATTGGTACTCTTAAAATTATGGCACAGTAAATATTCGATTGGGTCTATTTAAACTAGCATCTATTTGATGCTTGAAATCAGTTTCGTGTAATGAGAATATCTATTTTTCTTCAGCTTAACACACATATATGCCTACAATATTATTTTATTATATACATACAAACATGCTAATCGTATTATTAGCATGACGATTAGCACGATAGCTGGACGCTTATCGTAGCGTCCGGCTATCCCTAATATAAGTAAGCTTATTGGCCCATACCACACTTGAGTAAAATTGAGGTTTAAAATTAGTTTTTATAACAGTTTTCAGTGAGCACTTTTGGATTGAAATTTTACTCTTGTTGCTCTTGTAAGGTTATCAAAGCAATACATGCACTATATTTTTCTTCTGTCATTTTCGATATTTTCTAGTTTATATTTACAAGGGCATTTTATTTATATTGCCAAAACGGAAGAGTGAGCAGCAAAAGTAAAAACTTTATATATAATTTGATAAATGTTAAATTAATTATCAAAATTATTCTTTTGCTTTTCTACATACACATACAGACACAATCAAGCAGAATTCATATATATGAATTTCAAATCTCTAGAATTGATCAGTTAGCAACCATTAAAAATTACTCAAGTGTGACATGGACCAATGACTTTATATATCTTAATCCATAATGAGTATTGCCATGCAATTAATTCGTATAACTTTTGAATGTAAATGTTGATTTGTCATATCATATACAAACCTGTTAAAACTCCTAACGGTTTATATACTTCATTAGAGTATTATTAATTGCTTTACATATTATATTTATACCAGAAATGAAATAATTTGTTTTAGGATAGAAATGAAAGTTATATTGCATTGAAAAATGCAGATTTCATTAAAATTACTGTAAAATTTTGTATTGTGTTGTGACATATAATGTTTAATTATTTCTCTTGTATTATATTTATTTGCTACACATCTATCAATAGAGTAAGGTAATAATATTTTAGTGCAACACTGATTATGTTGTATATAAAATTATAAAAATTCATTTTTTACAGTTAAAAAAAAATGTCTTTTACTCCACCTCAACCACACAATTTTAGTATACAAATTAAGTGACTCGTACACATAAATTTGCGCAAAGTAATATTTATAGCATGCAACACATAAATAACACATAAAATTTATAGCATGCAATACACATATATAAGAAACAAATGAAAATTAACGTTCTGCACCTGCAAACGTACCCTCCACATTCAAATGTATGGCATGACGATCGGTGCCGCGTTCATTCTCCACAACCAAGTAATAAGGACGTGAATCATGTTCATCGGTGCGCTCAATATGCAATGTGGATAAGTAACAATCTTCGCGTGAGTCTGGCAGTATATCATCGGCATGAAAACGTTCTGCTTGTAGTGCACATCATATCACACACACACACACATACCACACACAGTTGTGAGGCCAATGGTAAATACACGTATATGTATAGACGACACATACAAGTATGCAAATATATAGTCCAGCCAAGTTCACGTACAGACGATTGTGGAAAGTTTGATTTGATTGGTGAATGTATGCAAAAATTTGGCAGTTGTGACAGTTTGACAGTGATTGAGTTCGTCGAAATGTTAAAAGTTTACCAGCAACATAATTAGTAACGGAAATGGTTCGATAACCACGAATTGCACCATTTCCGGTTTATTTGACGTTTATATTTGACAAAATTGGTGCATTCGTATATGTTGTCGTTGATCGTTGTTGTTGTTGTTGTTTTTGTATTTGATTGTTATTGTTGTTGGCAATTTAAAGTTTTCAGCATTCAACAATCCGAATTTGTACGTTTCATTTGCAGTAGTTTCAGTTTATTTATAGTTGGAACATGAAAGTAGAACAGAAAAGAAGAAGAAAAAAAAGGATACAAATAAAAATGAGTTAATAAAACAGTTTTACTGCATTTGTTTGAATTTGTTTTTTACATAATACACATTATATAATAGGAAAATATAAATAATAAATATTTTAAAAGTGTAAAATTTGTTTTTTCCTTAAATTATTATTACTGTAATAACAAAATTTTTGCTATAATTAAAAACTTTTCTCCCAAAAAACTGCAAAACTGTTGTGTAGAAAAATCCGAATCCCTGCAAAAAGCGCATTCGAAGCGCATTTCCAACAATTTTGTTGATATTATCAACAAAAACAAGTTGAAATTATAGTGAAAATGCAAATGAAATGCGCAAAACTTTTATTGTTTGTTTCGAACTCGTAATTCGAATGGCATGTTGAGTGGTTGTTTATATAACTTTTTTTGGTGGTTCTTATTTTTTTGTGGTTTAATGCGATACTTTAGTAAAACATCTAGAAAATGATAAAAATACAAGCTTCATTAAGTAAGCATTTCAAACAAATTACTTGCTTCCGAGAAAATGTCATTCAAATAATAAAAATTTTTATTATTTAGAGTTTCGATAATTTCCCAAAAATGGTTTAATTTTTGTGAAAATGTCTGAAAAATTCCGAATGATTTAATTCAATGAAGTTTTTAAGTTAAACTAGTATTCTGTTGTGAATTTTATGTATCATAATATATGAAACTTTTCAAATATTTAAATTTTCAACAGAATATCAAATAGTGCTTCCGAAAACTTAGGGAAGGGAACTTAAGACTACTTAAGTATGAACTTTCATTGAGTCCGGATCTTGTTTATCCGAAATCAGAATACTCAGTTCGGATCAGTTTTTAAGACTACGTAAGTATGAAATTTCATCAAGTTCGAGTCAAGTCTCGATCTTAGTTTCAACTTAAGTCGCTAAAAGATAAAATATTCTAAAATTGTTAACATTTTAGAGTTCAATAGTAATTCCTACAGCTGAATCCTATCATAACAAATAAAATTAAAAATTTTGTAAGACTTTGGTATTAGTAAATAGATTTTTAACTGTGTTTTGTAGTCGTGCGAAGATATTAAGAAGAAACCGTACTTAATCTTACTTATTAATCAGTTTATTCATTTTTAATAATGTTTATTTAGGTCTATTCGGTAGTTTTTTTAGGTCAAGAGACTAATAGTTAAGTAATACTTAGCATTTTAAACTCGATGCATCTAAGTGGAGACAAATCAGGTGCATAGATTTTATATATGACTCTGTCATTTTGGTAGCTTTCTTAGGTTAAGACAGAAAAAAATGAAGAAATTGTAACAAATTAAGAAACTTGTTTGTAATTCTCGACTTACTTCAAGTACGCAAGCTACCAGTTTTGAAAAATTTTCAATAATATAAGAAGTTTTATTTGGTTTGATGGAAGAAATTATGTTGCATTTTGTTTCTTTGCAACTTGTTCCTATTCTTATCATTCTAACAAACAAAAACTCCGTTTTATGTGCTCTAAGCTTTGAATTTTTTTTAAACTTTCATCGGTGGGGTTTGAAATTGAATATAATCTTGAAAAATTCAGACACATTGAGTTTTATAGCAGAGTCCCATATCCAAAGTTACTATCTATACACTCGGTGGGCCCAAACAGTGTCAAATCGAACGAAGACACCCTATATTTGATTCCAGCATTTTAAGCTTCGAGTGTTGTAGCTGAATGCTATATACAAAGGTATTACTTAATCACTTAAGCACATTTTTCATATAAGATAGAAGTTTTAAGTGGAACAATCTCTTACGAAGTGAAGCAAAATCTACTCGGAGTATAAAACTAAATAACATTAAGAAAACTTCTTAACAAAACTTATTTGATTCCAAAACGAAGATAGCATTTTTTTATTCAGATAGCATATTTATAAAATATAATAATGGTTCTTTCTTATATATTTTTTATTCGGCTATAGGTCCCTGTTTGTTAAAATTAAAATTCAATGTTTGTTTAATACTTTCTAATGTGTTCTATTTTGCGACTTTCCTTGGGAGTTATCGTCAGGATCAGGATCTAACATAAATTAATATTAATAAAATCTATATCTAAACGTCATGCTCTTGACTTCATTGTCTATATTCAAAATTTAATAATAGAATATATTCAGATGAGGAACAAACGTTAATATGACTTTAAATAATTATCAATACCATAAAAAGGTTAAACTATATTTCAATTGAATAGAGAAAAATTACAGTTAGTTATTTATAAATACAATTGTTATGAAATTTAAATTAATTAATTTCTCATTTATTTTAATAAAAACTTTTGAAGAATTTATTGAAATATATAAAAAAACTGTAATGCAGGTATAATACAGATGCTCCATACTCTCTGTCAGAACAGAATTAAAATTGATGAATTATGCTCTCAGGATTTTTTTAAAATGGATATGGCAGACCAGCTCTTTTAATTAGAAAATATAAGCGAAAAGCTATTTGGACACCTTTGAACAATTGAATTGACACAATTGAACTGAACCCAAAACATCCTACCATACGGAAATGGACATCGGCTTAGTATAGTGGCAGATTCTAAAAATTCCATTCAATTATCAATTGGGTAAAAGAATGCGGTTACAACCAAACATGTACTTATGTATATACATATACATTTATATAAGCACATTTCTTTAATCAAGCAGCTTTAGGAATGGTACATTTATTATCTTCCAATGGGAAATCAGTCTTCAATTGCCCCAATTCCATAGATGAGGTAGCTCAACAGTTCATAAATATTATTAGAGTGTATGAACGCAGTTGCGATAGCCAAGAAAAATGTTATTATTCTTACAGAAAAAGAACGGATTTATGCTCCTTTACCGACTTGAATCGGAAATATATGGCCACATACTAGACTCATTTGGCCTAATGACGAAAGTGTTTTTTAATACGAAGTGATAAAATCTCAATCTTTATTCGTGTACTTACAAGAAAATATCTTATAGATTGTCACATCTTAAGAATGGATATTGAAACAAATGACTACAGCTTAAGCAGTGGCGATAATACGCTGCATCTTTTCAGCGTATTATTTAAGGAGAATAATGACTAACTTAATATATGCTGAAGGATATTTACCAAAATGATGGTTTGTGATAATTTTGACAACGAAATAATTTATACTAAATGTATTGGTTTCCACTTTACGAGACTCGGTGACTACACGTATTTGCTTTTTAGTGCTAGAGAACTTGAATAATTTTACAACCCATTGACAATTCTTTAGACTAGAATAATAGATCTTAAATAGTGCAGTGAAAACGGTTCGTAAAACTGAAGAAGTATCTAAAAATTTTTTCTTATCCTATAAAAAGTAAAGTATTTGTAAGGTAAAATTTATGGAGGTCAATTGTGGGAAAGCTAAAGTCCGTTACTGCCAAATATTATAATATAGCATGATTTGAAAAACAACGTTTAAAGAAAAATTTTAAATAGATTGAAATGATTGCTTTGATCATAACAGATTCATTTATTCTCTAGTGATAGTTGCACGCAATTTCGTATTTTCGTATGATTAATGGCACACTTTATGATTATCACATCCTCATAATATCTATCAAATACATTCCAACAACATCAAAAATATTTTGATTTTGTGCTTTTTTTTTGTCAGTTTTAAATCTTAATTAATAAATAAGAGGTGGAAAGAGCATAGTAGCGCTGCTGCTAATGATAGCTGGGCAATTCAAATTTGAAATAAAGCTGATACAGTGAAGAATAGGTTATGAGAGAGGATGTTGTTAACATTATATGATGTTGGGTCAGTTGGCAAATGAACACTGACTCTGAGTTTCATATTTGGCAGGACACGAAATCAATACTTGGTACTTGCAGTCTCAAAAAATTATTTACGAAAAATTTAATAAAAGAAATATTCCAACACCACTGATGATGGACATTTGGCAATACTTGAAATAGCCAAATATTCAATTATTTAATAAATAATAAAATTTTATTGTTGTAATTTATTACTGTTCGAAATACCCCTCTATTGAAATTATGAGTTCAAATCAAGAATTTAGTTTCTTTCGTCGAAACGGATGTAGTAATACATTATATCAGATTTTATTGCACTTTCATATACAAAAATATTATAAATTTACATCAACGCTAGTTTAAAATGGTTTATCTTTACGCTACATTTTGCATTACTTGAGCGAAGCAAAGCAGCTTATTTACGCTATATGAGCTTTGCAGTCAAACTACTGTACTTAAACTTTGGAGGCTTCTGCCGTAGTCTAAATACAAGTAGCCGATAGATTTTATTCAACCGATTGTTATATGCCATGAGCTGCTTAATATAAATATCTGATATCAAGTTGTATAGATCGTATGGGAATAAAGTTTACCGCACTTGTTCAATTGTGATATTTTAGAAAAGACTTCACTGGAACTTCATTTGATGCTACCAAAATGCTACGTGAAAATCGTTAAATCACGCCCATGTCAATTTATTTCTTCCCGCACAACCACGTAAACCAAATAACAACGTTCGCCAACCAAAAAGGATAATACGACAAGAACAAAAGCTAAAAATCCGCGCTGCGATTTTAGCTGCGAAAACTGAAAGCCACAAAACAACGAAATCGATGCTTGAATAAATCGAAAACGGAAACGAAATTTTTGTTTAAATAAAGAGTACCAGTGCTTCACAGGATTGCTGAAGTGCTGTTACGTGCGGAACGCTGTCCAAAGGAACAAAATCGAAAATCACGAAAAAATCCATATAGTTAAAACGAGCAAAAAATATTTATAACAGTTGAACGCATCCAGTGGCAAAGGAGCGCCATTGCTTAGAAGGACGACATAGCAATGCAAATATTGCAACGCGCAAAGGATACGTAAAGGACACGTATGAGTTATGCTAGTGTACACAAATATTTTACGTTTCAGATGATATATGCAGCGCTAGTAATCGAGCTACCGAGAAGCATATACGTATACAAAATTTAGCACAACACTAGAGCCTGCAAGCGTGTGTTTGGTCAATAAGCATCCTTAAGTTCGATGTATAGTTTTAAGCAGACTCCTTTCGCAACTGTAGTGGCGGAGGAAAAATCAGTTGTGAAGTGCGCTAAATACAAACCACAAATGGGGTAAGGTAAGTGCAGTCGATGAGTACCTTTTTTGTGGCTCGAAACTATTGTTTTGGCTTTTATTACTTTTTCTTTTAGGTCCTTTTTATTATTGTAGTTTTCATTGTTACTACATCATTGAATCTTTTTGAGAATGTAAACAAAATGCAATCCTTTTTTGTGGGGCTTTTAGTGATTGTTTAGCCTTGATCGAAACTTTGAATATGTTTTCGCTAAAATATTGAAAAACATTGTTAAAATCGTTTAGCCGAGTATTTTTGAAATATTTTTTAGAGAACTTTTTTAAGTGAGAGTCTGAGTCACTTTTTTACCAGGTTTCGCAGAAATTTGTACAATATTTAGTTCTGATGTATACGGGGGTTTATTTCTATGGTAATAATCCAACACTCAGTATCCTAAAAATACAGCGAAATTTGATAAACACAGGCAGATACAAAGACATCAGATCCATCATATTATAAAGCCCCGTAAAGCCCCATATTTAGTGTGACTTAAAACTGTCCACAGATAAAATAGAGTAAAGGTGCTGATTCACCAACTCAGACATCTGAATATCAATATCAATATATATTTCCAAATATGCCAATTTGTCCCATAACAATACTTAGCTACCTTAGGGTTTTTAAGTGGTCTCATACCCTAATTTTAGGAACATGTTAGTTGTGCCAAGGAAGTTATTTATGATCAGGATATCAATACTTAATTTAAAGAAACGATCAACGCTTTTAATTTTAATACTTGATATATCAAACAGACGACGAAGAGAGACTTTAAGAGAGATACACGTCTTCTGATGAATGCTGGGTTGTGATAGAGGAGATGAGTGATACTTTCCTCTTGTTCATTTTAGTCATAGCTACAATGACAGTTGTTGAAAAGTGATTTCAATCGGTGCTGGGCGAGCACGACTACATAGTTTCTCTATTGTATCGTACGACTGGTTTCTTTGGTTTTCATTAGAGATGAAACAACATTATTTATTAATTGTGTATTGTTCGAGTCTTTTACTTTCAAACAGTCTTTCTATAGTTTAATAAACTCCTGCTAATGTTTCCAAGTTTTCTAAAGCTTTTTAAATGATTAAATTTGCCTTAGAGTGAAAAACAAATTGCATAGCTTGAACAAAATCTCTTTCTATTGATTCATTTTTTCAAGTTTGGAAACATAACATACAATAGTTGATGAACGTTAAGTCTAAAGTTTACTGTGTCAAGGCTTGAGTGAATAAAAAAATTTGGAAAATTAAAAAATAGCGTAAAAATTGTAGACAGTTTTCATTTTATATCGCCAACGTTTTAAAGTTTTTTAAAATGACAAATTTGTATCTATAGCACAGGGAGTTCTACATAATCGGCATACTGAGCAAGCAATTTGTGCAGTTATTGATCGATTTCGCACTTATTTTACTCTGCCCGATTCGAAACCATCAACAATTGATTGTTTGGTGCTGTTAACATCTGGCTTAATCGATTTGTTGCAAAATCAGTTTGGTAACAACTTTATTTTCAGAAGTGGTCGTGTTAATTGGCCCCTCGTTAGTGCGATTTAACGTCTCTCTTTAAGGATTACTGTTTATGCCATTGATTTATGCTGACAAACAAGCAACTCCTGAAGCACCGAAAACTAATGTTCATACTACCATTGACGCCACACGACCACATTTATTGCAAAAAATTTTTAAAAATTGGACTGATCGAATGGACCATGTAACTCGTAGCCCCGGTGTACATATGCCGAAAATCATAAACAGGAAATAAATGCCATGAAATTATCAACCAGATTTAACAATGTTTGGGTCTTGTAATATTAATTTAAGTACTTATGCAGCTAAAAAACACTCGATATATATAAAATTATTTTTTGACCGTCGTGGTGATTGTGTTCTATAGAAAATAATGACTGATTAGCATTCTTCAGTCTAAACTTTCGTCAAAATATATTATCATATTATCTACATAAAAATATTATACATATCATCTTTAATACATATGTGAAAATATCGATGGTAGTATTGAGTTGAAGGGAATAAAGCCAGGTATTTGTAAAATTTGCATTATGTGTTATATGGTATATAAATACCATAGTTAACATATATGTGAGTTATACAGTAATTTTTTAAGCAGATTTAATTGCTAATCCTTGGTATAACATAAGATTTGATTTAATATATCAATTATAAACTGCAAATACAATTTCTAATAATTTTTAGGAATTTTTAATGTGATAGTTAGATTGTATATCTTACCGATTCCGTTGCCAGCCTCCAATCGCAATGAACCCCATTCCCAAGCTACACGATGTGGACGTGGATCAGCACACACAACCAGTGACATACTAGCTGGTTCTCCGCGTTTAATGGAAACTGTATGCAATGAAGGATGTAGGCGTAGTACTTGCGGTGCTCCTGAAAACAGCAAAAAGAAACAACCAATTAAAAATAAATGAATATACTATATTAAATTGTAGTTTTACTAGAACGCAGTGAACAGTGGTTTGTAGTAAATTTCAGTAAAACAAAAGAATAAATAGTCATCGCCAGGATGCAAAAACCACTACCAGCAACAAACCTGACTGCAGATTGGAGTTGAGCAAATGCAATTTTGCATTTCTGCTGCAGTGGCTGTTGTTGCTGGAAGATTTGTTGCCATTGAACTGCGTTGCTGCCAGTGTATCTAAATCAAAAACTCATTTGTGAGTTGCTGTAGGTGTACAGCTTAAGCCAAACGGCAAAGGTAAATTAATGGATAAGTGGAAAAAAATTACAAAATATTTTCTTAACAGTTTCATTGTGTACTTTAACGAGATAAGGATTTGCTACAAATTGCAGCTAAATCATGTACAGTATTTACTGAAAGCCATTAAAATCATTTGAGCAATACAAGTTAACGAGCTGTAGTGTTGGTCTTTTAATTTTGCACAATTGCTGTTCCTTTTTTTTCAAAGATTATTTTAATACTTTTTGAAGGAGACTTTTGCCTTCCAATGCTTTGTGGATAATAAAAAAGGAAAAGAATTTAAAATTTAAATTCAAATATGCTCGTCCTCCAACAGTAAAAACCAATGACAAGCATAAATTTATGGTAGCAACCAGCAACCGGCAACCAGCAACCAGCAACGAGTAAACTGTAAGTTAGCAACTCAGCTCATTGCCATGCTGCAAATGTTACTTGCAATGGCAATAGTTTATGCTGAGCACCTTTAGTCGCAGACGAGTAACAGCAATTCGTAAGCACAGAAAAGTAAAAGATACAAAATGCAGTAACTTCTATGCTACATTGCGGTTGCTTATATTTTAACTTTCAACTCCTCACCCTACCGTGCAATAAATGAGCTCCAAACATTTTTTATTGTAGTTTTTGCTTAAAAGGATTTTCAAGCTTATATCTATGTAAAGCTATAGCTTAGTAGTTATAATAAGAAGAAGAATAAAATTAGAAAAATATGATAGTCCAGAAGTTGTGGTTAGTAACAACAACAACAAATTGTAGTAACAACTACAAATAACAATAACAACAACAACTCAACTTAACTTCATACTCGTACATGGTCAGTTGAGCAGAAAATTTATTTTCCTGTTAGTTATTCCCAAAGGAGATGGAGGTAAAGGATACACTTCGTATGTTTAGATAAATTTTTCTCTGTTTGTTTTACACAACCAATACTTAATACATGTATATACTCATATACAAACAAATAACTGGAGTTGCCACCTGTTTTATATTTTTTATGTTATAAGTTTTTTTTTGTGGGAATGCTGGTCTGCTTCTTGTTGGTTATAAATTATGTGCGTTTAGCGGCTCAGTAGTAAATTTAAAAATTTTTCACTTTATTTGTACTTGAGTAACAAATTTGTTTATCTTTTTTGTGGTTAGTCTGGTATTGAAGTAAAGGAGTGTTAAATAGTTCAGATGCTTAGAATTGCAACGCAGTAAGTGCCGCTTACACACCGTAGAGACCATCAAGGATTGCCGTTTCAAATGTTTGAAACTCTTTTGGGTTAATAAAGAATTTCTATACATATGTATATTTATAATATATTTTTCTCTATCAATTTATTATTTTATCAAAAGGGCAAAGTAGTTTTCAACATTAAATTAAACTTATAAACATTTAGAATGCCTAATCTAGAATGGAAAATACTTTGGTATAATTTTGCAGCAGTTGTGAGTTTGGTACGGCATCGATTAGAGAAAGCTTAGATAAAGAAACGTTTTACTATAATATTTTTAGAGTTTCAAATACCCATCAAATTATTTCTATAAGATTTTAATGCTTTTTGTTCACTTTTGCTTCTTAAGTATCTTTAATATTTAATTAAAGATACAGCTCTCAAAAGTACACACCTATCAGAAATTTTTGCAACTTTAAAACAATATAAAAAGTCCGTTTTTATATAAAGAGCTTGGCATAAAATGAAATTTCGATTTAATCATAAGGCAAGGTATTACACCAGTTATCACTAATTGAATCATATCTTTAACCCACACTTTTAATATCGTTATATAATATAAAAGGGCTTTAATTCTCCACAGTAAAAGATATCATAAATATCTGCGATACATAAACCGCGAAAAAATCGACAATATATCAAATCACTAAATAAATCTACATCAGTTGCTATCGACAGTCATAGAATTATTATTCCCCAAACGTTTTACACTGACAATTGAAGTGAATAGACAAATTCTGAGTAAGTTTATAGACTAAGCGGAAAAATCCATTGAGCGTATGAATATAAAACGTATTTATAGATATTTCATAAATATATAGGCATTCCCGTTATGCCATAAAAGTCTTCTTCTCAAGAGTAATTATTACAATTATTACAGATTATTTACATCATACTTCTAAAATCATATCTATTCTCAAAGCACTCTTATTTAAAAATGGCAACGAGATTATATAATTTCATACTGTAGAAGCTGCGGAACCTCAACGTAGCATTGTAAGACCAATGCTATATCTCTTGTGTGTAGTAAACCTTCCACTTAATAAAGCACATGTGATGGACATATTTGGGGGCCATACAGTAGCCTTATCCATTGATAGTTTTCCAAGCAAAGCAACTGAAAAACTGTAGATGTACGTTACCTGTATCGATCTGTGGATAAAATCCAACTCCGTCCAGGCCACAATTTACTAATAGATAATCTAGTTGGTTGGCAAGTCACAA